TGCGAGTGTTAGCCTGGCACTTTGGGGGTGACACGACATACTCTCGCGCTAGGACTTCGAGAGCTGGCCTAGAGAAGACTGCCGCATGGGTGTGGACCTCTGATAGCCCTTTTTAGAGTCAATCTGCCTTAGTATCGCATGTGGTACTGTCATCGCTCAATGAGGTTGAACTAATATTAATATTGTTCCTCTTGAATGAAGTATGGGCTCACGACATTCCCACATACCACACTCTCGCAGGCAGGCTGCCAGTGCCCACAGTAGACTATATGTAGAGGAGCAGTCAATAAATACACATTATATTATATTCATAATGCTTGCCTTCAGACTGTGCTCAATACAAGTTAGGATCATGACTACCATTACTCCCAGTAAGTCTCAGGGCATAGGCGCTTGATACAGTGCGCCGGGCTTGGGGGTTCAAAGAGGCCGCCCGAGGATGATGCACAGGCAGTGCGATGCACTCTTCAGCCCAATAAAGGTCAAGTCTGTTAGCAAGACTATGAATGTACAACACTAAGACCTTTTACAAACAACAAGAGGAAACTGTATGTTTACTGTGTATAAACGTTTACACCAAGTTTACATGACTTCATTTACACACACGGAAACGGTAAACAGTAATAAACGTTTATACACAGTAAACAAACAAAACGGTTGGAGCCTTACTTCTGGGTGGCTAGTCCGGTGTAACTTAATAAGTTCCCGTGTCTGGGCCGCCGAACTGAATCAGCTCCATCTCTCGTCCCCTCCGGTCGCAGGTCAATACTTTCCCTCCTTTTCAAAAGTTGTCTTCATTATTTCCAGTGACTATTTTTATCGAACCCCCAACGAGACGATGACGACGCTCCTCGGCTGATCCCCGCCTTTAAGCCTCGAACGTCTCTTGCCCCCTTCCCCTCCTTCGCGACGCGGCACTCCAACCAGCCAGAACCAACCCCGTGACACTGCACTTCAACCTCAACATTGCCCGACTGTCGTGCACGCTCGACAACCCGGAGAAAGACGAGAAGACCGCGGAAACGCATGACCAGCACCGCTCGAGCATGCTAAGCACAGTTGATATACCGGAAAACTTCGCAGCACCGGGCAACCTACTGCCGATACTAATTTCTACTGCGCTCGTTGTGAGGGGGAGGCAGCACACCACTACCTAGTATCGGAAATGGTCCCTGCTTCTCGCGGCCGCGCCTTGCTCGACAACCGGTACCGACAAAATCGAGCACCCCCGACGAGGGCAAGTCAAGCGCTGGCCACTCGCGCTTGAGAACCTTGGGATGAACGGCAACGAGTTCGCACGGGGCCTCGTTTCAGGACTGTCTTGCTTGTGTGGTCGTCCTCCAGTACGCCTTACTGCCTGTTGACTTGGGTGAGCGCCCGACGCTCTACGACGTTGACATCTGCGCCATGACTTTCGCGCCTTCGCTGATCGGATGGATCGGCGTCAAGACATGCATGCAGCGCCATGCTCCTAGTCATCACCCAACACCAGCGCGCAAAACGCAGAGCGTAACCAGCGCACGATACCCAGCGCGCACGAACTCGTCGCAGCGCAAGGGCCGCGACGGCTCAAAGGCATGGGGTCCACATAGCGTGTATCGCGACTGTTGGTATAACGAGTAGCGGTATCACATGGGCCGACAGTGCGTACGGGGCGACTACCAGGCTATAGGCAACATCGTCGGTTCAGGTCCTCAACAACGTGGGCACGTTGAACGGAGCAAGGGAGGCGGTTGGTGGCTATGGCAACGGTACACAGGAGCAAGGCGAGGCAGACGAGGCGGATAGACGAAAGACAACGAAGACACGTCTTGGTAATGCACAGATGATAGTCGTGGTATCAAGTTGTGTATCGAGATCTGTGCGCTTCTCTTCTCTTCCTGATATTCCGCCACTGAATGAGAGCTGCTCGTAGGCAAATAGTTACATATATCGAGAATCTTTATATACACCTTCCTGAATGCTCAACCCGTGCGACACGTCAATTATCCAATCGCTTCCCCTGCCATCTCATCTATGGGCTGAGGCCGCCCCTACGCGACGAGGCCCCGTTACATACTTCCTCATCGAGATGTGAGCAGTGAGATCGCGGGCAGAGGTCTTGTAAATGGTAGTTGCCATGTTATTTGAAGCAGTGCACGTCCGTGTCAGAGGAAAATCAGTCTCGTTGCGTCACTTTCCACCACATGGTGCCGGACATATCGCCCCGAAGCATCTTGAAGTGGCGCACCCCGGCTCTCTCATGCTTACTTAGAATGCTGCTCGTACGCTAGAGAGGGTTGTGCTCACAGAGCTTCCGATCATTCGTCGCGCTTTTGGTGTACAAGAGAAGGCCCGCCTCTGACGTAGACTTGAAGCGGAGTGTCTTCCCTATCCGGGACACTCCTCTCTTCCGTATGACAGGCGATGAGAATCAGTAAGCGTCTTATTTTTATTTTTATTTTATTAAAAAAATACAATGCTTCTCCCAGCAGCCATAATTGTCTACATTATAGCCCACGGACGACAAAGGCTTGATAGCTCCGGGCGCCACAAGACAACAAGGCAGAACTACAGCGTTTCTGAGCTATGCGGCCGCTAATTACATACAGTATGCCGAAATTGACCCGGAACAGGCAGATAGCATGGGCTAAGAGTGCGCCATGACAGTATGGACATCCTGTTTCCCACCATTCTCAAGCATATTAATGACCTTTTACCGCCTCAGAGCGTCAATTCCCGACTTCTATGCTGCTTCAACCCGGCTTCGCTCGCAGTGAGGTCAAATCACACTTGTGTGTGCAGGCCAGCCTTTTCAGTTACAATACGACGCATAAACGTTGACACATTGACAGACGACCAGCCAAACCGTTTACATACATAAACTGCAAGTGGTAGCCTATCCTCATCACAATTCGCCTCCCTGCTTCCCCACGCTGATCATGTCTGTGCAGTCAGGCCAAGCTTTTGCTCAAGCCTACTCGACGCTGTAATAGCTGTGATCCCTGTTTGTACGTGATAGCGCATAACTCACACCTATTTTCTAGTGCCACGAGCGATTATATCTCTGTGGCTTCGACATGTAAGTACATCACTCATCTCCCATTGTGTTACTTACACAGTATCTGCACTTCAGCCCTTGTTTACTACGAGTTGCTAATTACCGCCTGTGACGAAATAAAGGTTGTGTGGAAGAGACCTCTCACCGTATCCTCCGTACTCCTTGGTTCGATACGGTGGGGTCTGCTCCTCGCGTCTGCCCTTAATTTTGCGCCGGTAACTCCGAATGTGAGCCTTAAATGCCTTCCACTATGTGTGATCTGTAATAATCTTAATTACAGGAGTAAGTAAAATCTGTGCGAGACCTCGTAGGCAATGGATGGCTTACCCAACACGTAGCTGCCCACCGCTTGGAACTCTAGCCTGGGTATTAGGTCTCGTTGAGTACATCCAGATCGCATGTGCGCCTCACACAGTCCACGCAAGTGAAAATATACTCGCTAACTCCCACTCATCAGTCTTTTCCGCCCTACGCGTTTTCGCAATCTGGGATAGGAGCTATTCCTGGTCGCTTGTGGTGTTTACGCTGAGCATGGCACCTTTCGCGACAAATCTGGTGCGTTTAAGCTTGAACCCCTCGCATTCTCGAGTTGACGTTCCCATGTAGTATCAAGTAGTGAAATCGAAGTACGCGTCTGTTATGGACCCACTCGCCGGAACGACATGCATCCAGGAGCGCATGTTTTCTATGCGGATGGTCGGCATGTGAGTGTATATATCTCGCTGCTGCACTTGAAGAATACTGAAATATCGCAATACAGACGTATGTTTCATGGTTAGAATGCTCTAACACGCCAGAAACACTGACGTCGCCCCCTCACAGTCATGTACATCACGCGTGGCTCACTCGTGCTCGCCGATACCATCGTGCTCGTCTTGACCTGGATCAAGACGTTCGGACACTGGAAGAATGCTCGCCGCCTCAAGATGAAGGTGTCGCTGACGACATGTCTACTGCGTGATGGTCAGTAACCTTTTGCGCAATCCAACTTTCCCCTTGCTGAGGCCCAGCTGCTCACGCAGGAACTATGTATTTTATGTGAGTGTGACTCGTAAGCAACATTATAAGGAGTGCCTCACAGGCTACAACGGATATAGAGCTCTGCTAGCGGTAAACATAGCCCAGATACTGACTTACGACTCCTCTGGGGTACGTTTCTAACATAAGCACATGAACCAATAGCTAACATCAAACCCGAAGGGCATATCACCTATGACCATGTTTGTTGCGTCCCTGGTGCGTCCCATACAATCCTTTATTCTCTCTTATACTCATAGGCTGGCCACGCAGCCCTCGTTGTTCATTAACCGCTTCATAATCAATCTACGCGCGGCCGGCTCGGAAACATCGGACTACTCTCTGCACATTGGCGGTCGACAGCAAGGACAGTCGACACTACAATTCAGGAGGCAAACAGATCGGCTTGGTAATATCGGAGGAACACTGCAGGACGTCTGGGGTGACGAGCCCTGTGACGAAGAGGACGATGCCGGAAGAGTAGACGAAGAAAGACGTCGTGAGACCGGTGCTGAAGCATAAGCCAGCGTCGAATATTGTGTATAGCAAACTTTGAAGCATGATCTGGCCCAAGCGGACAGTGATCTTTGTAACTTATGCCAATAGGAACAGGAATTGCGTGCCCTTGGAGGCTTCGGTCTTGGCCGGCTCGCCAAGAATGCACAGGTCACGAGTAGTTTATATCTGCTGAAAAAGTATCGGGACATCTACGGGCGGTCGGCAGGCAAGGCAGAACGGATAGTGAGCTACTACTCTCAAGTACAGTGCACTTCGTGACATCTCTCTTTGCGTACTCTTGGATCACTCGCTCCTGCAGGAGCCCGCGCGTCGGCGCAAGTCTCGATTCGGTGCAGAACACAAGTATCGGTGCAGCAGGGTTCGTCCACCGATGGGACGCCGCGTTGGATGCGCACCACGAGCTGCACTTCGTCGTTCGGTCGGAGGCCAGCAAGGTATGTCGACGTCACGTCAGAGAAGGGTTCGTTGCGAATGGGCTTTGTGGGTGTCTCGAGCACACTGATCGTCAGCGTGGCATGGGTGAGTTGGCAAGCGGCCATGAGGAGATGGGGCACATAGTACTTAGGAAGGGCTGGAGGAAAGTGACGAAGAGAACATTGACACCAGAGTGACCTTCGGGGATGTCGAGGCATCTAGCGAGGATCTTCGCGAAATTCTTTCGTCATTTCCTGCAGCGCTTACACGTGTTTTGACAATGACCAGTTCGCCATGAATGCGTAGGTGTTGGATGGTCGCCAGCTGGGACGGCTCCACAAATCCGCTGAGCAGCATCGGGGCATTCGCGGAGCGGCCAGCAGGAAGTGTAGTGGATCAGCGTAACGGCCTGAATAGCGATGTTCTCACGATTTATGTGATTTTCATCTCGAAGATGCGCTACCGTCTAGGTCATCTGGGAGGCCGAAGCGGGTATACGGGCGAAGATGTCTCTGGTGAAATTGAAAGACAGACTAGTGAGCAAGTATTGGCGGGTAAACTCGCAGAGTAAAGGAAGGCGAGGCATCTGCGGGTTTCGCGGCAGAGGTCGTCGTGCGGGTGGAGGTCGTAGTCAAGGGGCAATTTTCACCACTCCTCGATTACCCTTAAGTGTAGCATTCGCGCACACTCCTCGTGAATATCGACATCCAGGTTTGGAGCGCCTGTGGCCTCACAGGCAGTCTTCACGATGCCGACATCACCGCCGATTAGAGCGGGCCGGGGCGAGTCTACAGCCACCCTGGGAACTATAGCAGTGCTCTATGGCAATAGGAGCCTCCGTGCGGAGGTGCACCAAGACGTTCGATTCGACAGAGCGCAGAACCTTCGAGTGGGTAGCCAATTGACGTAAAACAGTTATCAAATAGCATACCTAGACAGAGAGGCGATGGTCGTTGAACTTCCGTCATGCACATCTAAGGGCTGTGCCTTCAAGCGATGTCAATGCGCAACATTAAAGCGTCTGAACAGTACGCGCACCTGATAAACTCTGCTTCTCGAGAGTTACTCGCGCCGCGCTTTCTGTCCCTCCGCTCTGCCCATCCCCAGCACCCGCCCCCCTCTCATGCCATCTCGGTATGCTCCACTGCACCAAGGCTCATCCCTTCGAGATACGATGCCTCAACGAATGCAGGAAGATTTTGCACCAGACGATTATTAGCTATCCACGCAGAGAATAAGCCGCGTGAGCTGTGGGCACGCACTCCTATCGACATAGCTTACGAGTACATCAGATTCCTCCTGGCACCTTTCGTCGGCGCTCTGCGTGGACGTGCCACAATTGCCGGTCGCCGAGCACGATTTTCGCACTTTCAATTGGGCATCGTACAGGCGGAGGAGTATACGCTGTTCTATAGTTTACTCAGCAAGCTGCCAGGAACTGGATTAAGAGAGTAACATGTACGATATGGAACGTGTTCAGTGGGCGAAAGTCCGTGCGACTCGCTTCGAGAGTCACGGCCGTGAAATATTCAATGGGAGAACAGTTGAGCGTTGCAACGTTGAAACGTTGAACGTTGACGTTGAGCTTGAATGTTCGAAATATGGTGCACGAGGCCGGACGTGGAGGATGTATGACCTTGCATATGGATAGAGCTAAGTTTATGGGGGCGTCCCTCTGTCACGTGGGTACAGGACCCCAATTGAGCGCGAACGCCACGACGCTGCCGGGGTCGTCGCTTCCGATGCATCTTCGTCCTCAGAACTCCAGCCGCATATCTCCCGATTTCCCCCCTCCATTAACATACTTCCGCTATAACTGAGAGATTGCGTACCGCATTCGCGACGACATTTTGCGATAAAAGGCGCCTGTGTCATCTCAACTGTAAGCCTGTAAATCTGGTGAATCGCGCGCAACAAAGCATGTGCACCATAAGCATGTGGGCGGAATATAGCTGCCAGTGCACATGTATATTTTCAGATCCGCATCCGTCAATATTCCCTCTGCCGGTGAGTTCCGTTGGCCACAGCGCAACCACAGCGACCTGTAGAAGGAAAACGTTTAGTGCTTCTGGGCGTGCGAGGCACTGATTCAGTGATCTCGCCAAAGATATCGCGTTTTACTGATTCAAACGCGACAACACGCCGCAACCCAACAGACCGGCTGACCACATGGGATCTAAGTACCAAGAATGGCCGCGAACTTGGACTCGAGCCAACTTGAAGCATAGGCCACTTACTCCCAAAAGAAGACGACTATTGCACGAGGCGGGTGCAGTTTCTGGGTAGCAAACTCGGCAACTTTCTAGGGTAATGACTATCATTTTGAGTCAGTTAATTATCTCCCGCCGCTTCACCGACAGAGCGGCGTTCCCTAATTTTCTACTTCAATACGGCCTTTGTTGCAAAGCTACACTCAAATCGCACCGGGGTCTGCCAGTCGGTCTTTTCATCTCTCACGCTTTCAGAAGTCCATCGCAACCGTCAGCGGAACTCTGTTGCCACAGACCGCATACGCTGATGCCGCAGCTATGGCATGATGCTCTAATATCGATTTTAGATGGCCGGCTAGGTCGCTCCGAGTCATAAACCGCGCAAGTCGTGCCCTACCGCTCGCCTCCCCGTCTCCCCACGTTGACTATGTCGCGGCAGTCAGATCAAGCCTCTGTTCAAGTTTACTATCAAGTGTAGGCGCCACATCTATGCGTTCGAGGACCCAGCATTCATCTTACTCTCACTTTCCAGTATCGTAGCCAATTATATCAATGCAGCTGCCATGTGCAAGTACATCTTGAGCTTGTTATCTCATCGGAGTCGCTGACGCGGTGTCCGTTTCTCAGGCCTCGTCGTCTACGAGCTACTGATTACTGTCCGTGACGAGATTGGTATTGTATGGAAAAGACCTATTGCTGCATCCACTGTGCTTCTTTGCTCGCTGCAATGGTGTATGCTCTGCATAGTCGCCACAAAACTTGCATCAGCAGCTCAGAAGGTAAGTACGGAGCATTTTTAACTAAATGTAATCTGGAACTATGCTTCTCTCAGCCTAAGAAGTAAGTGCACTTTCTCTGAAACCAATGGAAAAACACAGTGCTTATTGATACCCGGCTTGGAAAAACAGCTGTGTGCTGCTTGAGATCCTAAATCGGATATTCATTCTCAATGGATTCTTCCTCATTGCGCGTGCGCCTTACCCATTCTGGTCAAGTCAGAACGCCCACTGACTTTCATACACTGGTCTTCTCTGCCCTACGCGTGTTCGCAATCTGGAGCAAGAGCTACTTTTGGTCGCTGGTGGTGTTTGCACTGAGCATGGTGCCGTTTGCGACAAATTTAGTACGTGAAGCCTCTACTGTGACTCTGCATACGCTTGTATTGACCCTTATGCAGTACGGCGCGACGGTACCTAGATACAGATTTGTTATGAATCCACTTCTGGGAATGACATGCTTCTTGGAGCCCCAGTTCTCTGCACAGACAACGAGCATGTGGGTGCATATATCTCGCTGTTTCACATTCAGAACACTAAATTTCCCAATATAGACTTACGTTCCACAGATAAATTCTTCTGGTACACAGAGAATTCTGATCTCAACCCTCGTAGTCACCTACATCACGCGCGTCTCGCTTGTTCTCGCCGACACTACCGTTCTCGCCCTGACATGCATCAAGACTTTCGGACACTGGAAGAACGCTTGCCGCCTGGGCATGAGAGAGCCGCTAGCGACGTGTCTTCTGCGTAACGGTAGGCAGCCATTTGCGTGTCTTTATATTCCTTCCACTGATGCCCAGCCACAAATGCAGGAGCTATTTATTTTATGTGAGTATGGCTCGTAAACTAAATCAGAGAGAAGTGCCTACAGGCGATGGTGGATGTAGAGCTCTGCTAGCGATAAACACAGCGCAGCTGCTGACCTTCGACTCCTCTGGGGTACGTCCCTCAAATGAGCACACAGCCAAATAGGTAACTGACGTCGGACCTAAGGACATATCGCTCCTGACCATGCTTCTTACAATCTTGGTGTGTGCATTATGTACTGTTCTCCCTTGTTGTACTCACGCGCCAGCTATGCAGCCCATGGTGCTCATTAATTGCTTCATAATTAATCTGCGGACGGCTGGCTCGGAAATGGCAGACTACTCCACGCACAAGTCACGAGTGACTAACAGCAAGGATAATTGGTACCGCTACACAGATGGCTGACGGATCTGTTGAGCAATATTGGGGAGACACTGCATGACTGTTGTAGCAATGAACCCCGCGACGAAGAGAATGATTGTACGGACGTGGATGGAAAAGAGCGTCGTGATACTAGTACGAAAGCATGAGCCGTCGTCGAAGATTTTACTAGACTGTATAGTATGTTCTGTTCCAGGCGAACAGTTGGATTTATTGTCATAACTTATGCAAGCAAATGATTCGAAGCTTAAAATACCGAGCTACAGGAAATTGGGCTTCGAGAGCCTTCGCGATCGCGAACATGCCGAGGAGCGGTACAACAGATAGTAACTGAGACTGACGCAGATGTTTCCTTTATGGAAAAACGCGACTGATAAGCGGATAAAAGAACGAAGCAAACGCACGAATTTCTGCCTGCATTAGGAGATTAATGCACATAACATCGTCCAGGGTCTTGGGATTCCCAGATATGGAGGACCGTGCCGGGAAGGCAAGTCCGCCGCACACATTCACGTTGCGCGCCATGGTGCGGGAACGCCAAGAGTAGCTGACGGACGTGCGCTGGGAGCGCCGCGAGCTCCCGCCTGAAGTTGCGCGCCGCTGAGACGCGTACCCCGACGTCGCCGTTTACAAAAGTGGCGAGCCTGTCAGATGTATACGGCGTAGAGCACGAGTAATTATGCGTATTCATGGCAACCAGGTGCAGGCTGTACTTTGGCGCGTATGAATGCATGCATTCAGCAATCTCTAGAGCCAGCAAGCGGAGTTAGTCGGCAAGCTGCGAGCAATGGGTGGAGCAATCGTACTTTGATGGTTGTCTCGCAGGTGAGGACAACGCTGATGCTTTGCGGCGCCACAAGTGGGACGCCGCTATCGATGTAGTAGAAGAAGGTAGCGCTCTCCTGATCTATGCGCGTGGAAGGCTTGCTGAGTGAGGAAGCTGCAGAAGGCTCGTGAATACCCCAAATACAATATACCCACGTCCAGCACCCGGCCATCCTGGGCACAATCCACCAATTGTACTATAAATAAAGTTGCGGCAATGGAGCATTAGAACTGCTGGCAAAGCAAACCAGTAATCAATCCCAACGAAGTATAATGCGACGCGGCGGTCCAGGTGAGGGCAGGCAAAGGATCGCAAAAGCTAAACTTACGCATGCACGAGTGCATGAAGCTCGAGTGGTGTGCCTCGCTCAAGGCGCGCGGCGGTATGCTAAAAGAGCTCTTGCTGCCGTTAAAAAAAATTAGATGAGAATGACAATAAAATTTATTTCGCCTACCTTGCGAGAATAGTCTCCCCTGGCTATATCTGAGCCTGAGTGGGCTAACATGTTATAGTCCAGGTTCGAGCCTCAAACGAGCCAGCCTAGTTTTCCACAGGTAGACTCTCAAATGAAGTATCCGGTCATGGCGGTCAAGGTTTATCGCGGTCCAGCCGCGGCCCCTTCCGGGTATCTCCGTGTCACGTGAAGATAAGATCTTGATCGTTAACGAAATCGCGCAGTCGCATCTCTCCAATTTTACTTCCTACCACACGTCCCTGCGGCGATTCTCCTGGCAAAAGGAGCCCGCGCCCTCTCAGCTGCAGACCGCCAGTTCAAGTCTGGCCCTAGTCCGTCTGTCCAGAGGTGCGCAGCAAAGAATCGATAGGCCGTGGGTGACTGCTTTCCGCATTTTATTCTATGACTCGCTCGAGACACATCTTCGGATTATAATGTAACGCTACAGCATAATGAAGCCAAGTTTTGCCGTAGGATCCTTCTAGCCTGCGATGACCCGAAGGCAATGCGATGTCGTATGGCGGGTCAGGGAGAGTCGCGAGTGCTTGGGCAATATGTGGAAGGTAGACAGAGGCAAAGAGAGTTTGTGCAGCGAGCGAGGAAGGTGCGAGGACAAGGGCGTCTTGAGCTGGCGGAGCCGCCGTTACGATCGAAACGGCGGGCGCAAAAGCAGGAGTCGAGGCGGAGGTCGGGACAGGTGCAGCAAGCAAGATATTGGTGAGTTCTCACGCATATTCCTTGTTCTCACATGCGACCGGGTCCGGTGCTGGTCATGGTACCCTTGCACGTAGAGAAATGTGACAGGATGATGGTCTATCTGCGCCGGTGTCGGTATGTTCAGGCCTGTCGTCGTCGTCGTCGTCACTGAGCTTGCATTTGCGGCGACTGGCGAACCCATTGCTGCCGTTCGCATCGGTATCTTGTTTATCCTTATTCTTCTTATCATGTCTCTTCCAGCACTCTTCATCGGCATCTTCTTCCCCGATATTCTCGACTTCACGGGCTCATTTCTGCCTCTTCCGGTCAGCCGCCAGCGTGGTCGACAGCTCGGGCCACCCACGTATCCGGGTCTCGCCGTCAAGCTGCGCGAGCGGCTTGGGGTGAAAGACCCTGGGAGCAAATTTCCAAGGCCGAGGCGGGACGAACATGCAATGCATTTCTGGCTGCGATAATGTGCGCCAGCTGCCAGGAGCGGTCGGGAATTTCGCATCGGAGTGAACCTGAGACAACGCGGCGCCTTGTTCAGTTGTGTCCACTGACTTTCTGCTCGACATGAATAGAACAGCGGTGGATACTACTATGCTTGCTGCCTGTCGACTGACGTTGTCTTTTTGTACGCGGTCATTGCATGCAGGGACTCGCGACGTTTCCGTGGGACTTGAGCGGGCAGGAGCTGTACAACAATTGTTGACATCTACTAAATACAATAGTAGGCAATGTAGTTCGCCTCGATTCTGTAGGTATGTTAGAGCTCACCCGTGTTCTCTTGATCTCATCTTATCTTATTTCCTGTCAGAACGTTCCCGATTTATGCTGCTGCGCTGTTGTACAACGCCTCGGATGTATTCTTCGTGAGCTGTTCGGGTTGATAATCGCTGCAGATACGGGCAGATCTCGTGTTCATTCTCCTTAGTTGGGCGTCTCAAGAGCAGAACGCTGATCATATACACAGGCTTTAGGGTGACCGTCAGCGCCCTCGGCTCCTCAGCGACGCACCTACCCGCCGATGGTCCCATGGTCAACGGGATGGCCTCGTACGAAGCTCTAAGTGCGCGTCTTCTCATTTCACTCACCGTCATCTCTCTCCAGGACGGCCGCCGGACAATGCAGCACACTTCGTAGAGTGACATGCGCGCGAGATGCCCGCCGGCGTCGCGCTAGCGTGCGCGTCGCTCGCTCTCTGCATATGCGGAGACTGGTCTGACGGGTTGTTGGAGTACCGGCGCGCCCCGATTCTCTACGACGACCTCCTCGCGTGGTACGATACCACGCATGCACCCCTCCATGGCGAGGGCGACGCTGGCGAGTTTGTCGAGATGCACGCCGAATGGGAGCAGAAACTGCAGGAGACGCTGGGTAAGGTGTGTGGCGCGCTCGGTCGGCGCAGGCTCGGCCACTCTACGTTGACACTCTCGGTCGGAGCGCTGTGAGGTAAAGAAGTCCGATGGTATGGTGAGGCAGACCTCAACCTCAAGGTTGGGAACACGCTAAGGTGTTCTGTCGCAAAAAGTGAGGCATGGTGCTCGAGAAAAGGGCGTTCGCGCTTCTTGGGCACCGGTCAAGAGACACATCGATGCGCTGCGACTAGCTGTTAACTGCTAACTACCTTCGGCGTAGCCTGAATCTTCAGTACAGCATTCAAATTGGCTCTTTCAATACTATAAACACGAGTTCTCGCCCGCATAAATTACAGCTACGAATGCCGCATTCCACATGAAATAAAGTACATTACAGAATTTATTGCATACAGTCTTCGCTGACTCATGCTTCAGCACTGGCGTCACGATGTTCTCCCTCGTCTACCCCTACGGCACCGTTCTCTTCATCACAGGGCTCTTCGCTCCAAGCATCCTCCAGCGTTTCCCCAACATTGCCCAACCAATCTGTCGGCCTTCTGAACTGCGCTGTCGACTGTCCTTGCTGCTGCTGCTCGCTCATGTGCGTAGAGTAATTCGATACTTCCGAGCCGGCCGTCCGCAGATTGATCATGAAGCGGTTAATGAGCACCGAAGGCTGTGTGGCCAGTCTATGAGCATATGAAGAGGAAATGTAATGTAGAATACGCACTAGGGTCGTCATCAGCACGCCCACGAGTGATACCTCCTAAAGTTCGACGTTAGCTATGAGCCTGCGGGCTCATGTCGGAGACGTACTCCAGAGGCATTATCAGTCGCCATTTGTGCTACATTTATTGCTACCAGAAGCCTATATTCATCGTCAGCTGTTAATACTTGCCTATGACGGAGCTTACAAGCCATACTCACACAAAATAAATAGTTCCTGCATGCGTAGCTAGGTATAAGAAACAAGAGATGTAAACGCACGCAGAGGACTATTGACCGTCACGCAGCAGGCACGTCGTCAATGAAGCCCTGACGTCTGCGCGTCGGGCATTCTTCCAGCTGTCAAATGTCTTAATCCACGTCAGGACGAGCACAATGGCGTCGGCGAGGATGAGTGAGCTACGCGTGCTGTACCCGACTGTAAGCAGGCGGGATCAGTGTCTCTAGTATGTTGAGATACTCCGAACCCAGAACGTACTTCTGTATTGCGAAGGCTTAGCACTACGAAAATGTAGCAATGAGATATGTGCACGCACATGCGGTCTGTTCGCGCGGAGAACAGAGGTTCTTCGATGCATGTCGCTCCGACATACGGTTCTATGCCGAATGAGTACTTCGACTCCACGGCGTTATGCTACAGAAGCATCAACTAGAGCGCATACGAGGTTTCATCGGAGGTCACACATACTAGGTTTGTCGCAAATGGTATCATACTCAATGCGAACACCACCAACGACCAGATATAGCTGCGATCCCATATTATGAAGACACGCAGGGCAGAAAAAACTGGCACGTGGAGGTCAGTAAACGTTTTTGACCCAGCAAGGCTGTGCAGAACATACGTGAGCTCTGGAGGAATTCAGCGAGAAAGAATATCCAGTTCATAATCTCGAGCGTCGCGCAGCTGTGTGTCCAATAAGCAACCTTTTGCTCACGGGCGTCAGACAAACTGCACTTACTCCTGTGAGAAGAATGGTCACACATCACATATAGCTGAAGATGACCGAAGCTTACATTTTGAGTTGATCGCGGAAGTCCCAGGATAACGGTGAGGAGCATGCACCATCTTATCGAGCCAAGGAGGACGGCAGATGCAGTAATAGGTCTCTTCCAGACAATCTTAATCTCGTCGCCGACGGTAATCAAAAACTCGTAAGCGATAAGGCCTGAGGCACAGATACTGTGTGAGCGGAGAGATGTGGAAAGCAAAATATGCACTTGCACATGCCGGCTGTGTCGGTGTAGTTGCTCGTAGTGCTGGGAGATGCAGGTATCGGCGAGCATTGAGTATTCAGTACCAACAGTTTGGGTGACGCTTACGCTTCTAAGTAGGCTTGGGCAACAGCTTGGCTTGACTGTGCAGACATAGTTGCTGTGGGGGAAGCGGGAGGATGAGCTGCCTCGAACTTAAGGCAGGCTACCAATTACACGGTTTAATAAGGCTGACTCGGTCAGTCATTTATCAACATCATCTGTGATGTATTCGCTTCCGCATGTGCGGTTTGTGTGGATACTTAGTGTTCCGTTGAATTGAAGATTGCGAGAAGGACTGATGAACGCAGTGAAGTGCTGACCGAAACACCACATCATGCAAGCATCAAGCCTAGAAGGTGCAGCTGAAGATGCTTCGGAACGACCCACGCGCGCTTATGAGGTATTCACCAATGCCCTTCCACAAGAGTTTCAGTTCGGCGGCCCAGACACGGGAATTATTAAGTTACACCCACGAGACGAATTAGTTCCTCTTTTGTGCAAAGAGGTCCAAAAATATATACAATATTTTTCACGAAAAGAGCAGAACACTTCTCCTGGGAAGAAGCAGTGCTATTTGCAGCACGAAAAGGTGTACTATTTGACTCTTTTTTGAGTGTGGGAGGAGTTCAAATATTTCCAAGGAAAGTAGGGTATCTATTCTTGTGCCTATTTTCAGACAAAATAGTGATCGCCCGCTGTGATCGCCCGCTCATGGTATGACTGCATAGCATGAGCGGGTGATCACTATTTGAGCTGAAAATAGCTACCTCTTTTGCAAGAAAATATATACAAGATTAAATGGCCTATTTAAATAGGGAATATTTGGACTATTTTTATGCTCAAAAAGTTGTAAAAATAGCATGCCTTTTCATGCTGCAAATAGCACCACTTTTTCCCAGAATAACTGCTCAGCTCTTTTTACAAAAAATACGTGCCGTATTTTTGGACCTCTTTTTACACAAAAGAGGAACTAATTCGTCTCGTGACCGGACTAGCCACCCAGAAGCGCCCAAGAGCGGCTAAGACACGCTGAAGAATTTCCGAAAAGCCCAAAAAATGGCACAAGCAGGAATCAAACCGGCAGCCTGAAAGTAACTGCAGCGCACTATACCACTAAGGCATAAGACCTTGCAAATATAAGCTTGGAATTGTCCTATAATACCACTTCCCTACCTCAAAGTCTTAGCTGCAATATTGTAGCCAATTATCAGGTATTAAAGCATTGGAATGTAATTGTACAAAGGTATATCCTAATGGCATGGCTAAGACATTGATGTGGTCAAGACACCAGTGTGGCTAAGACATTGAGTCATTAAATATTTGCTATTGATTCTG